AGCTCCTCTCCTTGTTCTTACATATTGCATGGATCTTCTGAATTTCTTATTGATGCGGATGTGACAGATTTGGTTCCCAATAATGTGGTCTTGGGAATTCCATGTTGTTTTGTTTATGTGTTCCTAGAGGAGTATGGTGTCACCTATAACCATTTTGTTGAAAGTATATAGAATTGCAAGTCTCCCACCATTTTTATTTCTCTTTCCAGTTCCATGTCGTCCTATGATATATTTATCCCCGATGTCATCCATATCGACATTAGCGTTCAGGCCCTCTATCGTGATTGTCAGGTTTTTTCGTGGATAGTTATATACAATGAACTCTGGACTACCGTAAGACTGAGTCTCATCACCTTCGCTGCTATCATTACCGGGTGCGTAACACTGGATAACATTCATTATATTTCCTTCCTTCTTTGTTTTAAACGACGCTTTGATGATCCAGAATCCATGAGATTCATATAATATAGATGCCTTTCGTGCTTCTTCGAACATCAGTGCAACTCCTTGTGTGTGCAAAGCATTTTCTTCTTCATGATCAGAGTACAACAGCACCTCTCTTGATGTCGATCCTTTCCGTTCAGCTTGTGTCCAATGTCTTTCACTTATGCCAAGCACCACCAGGTTGTATCTCTTCACTTCTTCAACTATTTGACTGATCCCTTCAGTCTCCTACATTATCCAGATATTCCATGTACTCATATTAACTATTTCTCTCTCTCTCTCTGCTTGTCAGAAGAGTATTCACCTCGTAATTCTAACTAAATACACTCCAACTCCAAGTGCAGAGTTTAAATGATTTTTTATGATTACCTTTTTACCAAGGTTCTGTTTTACAGGATATGGGGTTGCTAACTCCATGCCCAATTCTGATCATTTATCCAGGCGTAGGACTGGTACTAAACTTATAAGGGCTCCAGGAAGAGTTATACCGAGCTACATACAAGCTAATAAATTAATTCGGTTTACAGTAATGACGTAATAGAAAACTTGGAAAGCGAATGTTGATTTTCTGAATTTAATGCAAAAAAAAACATGAATTGACAACAGGGGAAAATGATTTAAGTTCAAATGTTGAAGTATATTATAGGATGAAATCATTAATAGTTGATTATTGCGTAAACCAATTAACAAAATACTAAAATCTGTTGATTCACATTGATTAATCCCTGATTAGCAGCCGATTTCATGTTTCTCTAATTCCTAGCACTGATTAAACTCTACCGATCAATTACAATGAGGCTACCAGTTTCAGTTACTCAGCATTACGTACTCAACATTTTGATATTAGGTGGTTGAACCAGAAGTCTATGTTTCATTCTGGATATCGCCTGACAGCAGGACTTATCTCCACTCTTGTAGGAATTGAAGCTCTCTGTATGATTACAAATTTCATTAACAAGTGCGATAGTCAAAGATTTTACTATTGAGCTGAAATGTTAACACCAGTTTCAATGATTTGTAAACTACGGTGTATAATATCATTGTTTGATAATGTCATTAACGCTTTTAAAACAGTTTATGATATAGTGGTCTCGAAATATCCACATTATTATTCATGTATGTATGCAAAAAACGCAGAGATTTGTCAGGTTTTTATAGTGTGACCATTGACAAAATAGACGAACTATTGATGAATTACTAACCAAGTAATCTGCCTTTACCGAAATAGCTCAGGTCGGTAATCACTGACTTCGTGGAATGATGCCATATCTTTAGTTTACCCATCACTATCTTTTGTCATCTTCCTTCTGCTCCAGCAAACATTGCATGTTAAGTTATGTCTTATAAATTGTGGCCTGTGTACCCTGTTAGTGTATATGTAATGATACCGCCGATTAGGGAGCACTGAAGTATCAATCGGATCAATGATGCATAAAACACATGCGAGCAGTCGAGTCTTGATTGGTCCTGTTTTCCGCCTAGCCCAGCCAGTTAAGTCCAGAACACCGATCCGAGCCTCTGCGATAAGAATCACTTATTTCAAGCATACTGGGTTTATATACCAACCAGACAGATCACATCATACCATAAAATATGAAACAACATTTGTACAAGAATTAGCCAAATGTGGCTGTGAATGTGGGAGGTAGTAATTAATAAACAGGGATAATTCAAGAATGGTAAATTGTATAATAATAGTTCGTAGATCAAAATGGAGCTCAGAATAAGAGGGACATGAATATGAACAATTTAGCTACCTAACAATTATACGATAAAAATATACGCATAGTATTGGTTCATAAACGGATCCCAAAAGTTACTATTCAGTATGCCTATCGCAAAATAACAGTATGCGACAGATGAACATCTGTAAAACGTGTCACAGCCACCTCGTTCAATGAGGCTTCACAGTTCAATCTATCAATATTCCTAATACATTAATTTTAACCTCAGTATTGCTTTCAGGATGATAAAACCATTACTAACCCAGATTCACTTTCAAACCCCTTAAAAAGTAGTATCCTTTCACAGTATTCAAAGCTGCTAAAATCACTTTAACAACACCTAGAGTTTTCAGTGTAGCGCATGGGTTTACTGATATGATGATGAATTAATTGATAAAACAATCAGACATAACCTTGACTTTTAGAAAAGACAATAGTCAATACACACACAATCAGGTAACCTAACACATTTTATATCCAAACGAAACTTAAACAGAAACTAAGCTTACAGATAAATACAATTATAAGCTGTTGAATTTTCAAAACTTAAGGGGGGAAAAGGTGAATTATCAGTTTGATACATTCACATCATATAAGAAAGATTCATTAAGAGTCCATTTTAAATATGACCTCATTGAAATTCAATTCGCTGAGGAAAATGTCCTAGTAGGTACAAATAAATGTAATGAAAATCTATAAATAAAAATGAATTACAAAGCATGAAAGTAAACTTGTCCATCTACAAACAGAATACAAATCTTTAATCTATCCTGGCTAAATCATGTCACTATACAAACACCAATCACATAACGTGACCTTTCCTTTGGCATATATTTTTTCCTGATTGGTTCATTTTAATGGCATAATTCCAACTACTACACATTGACTATCATTATTTTTCATACTGATATCATTAAACTATTGATTTAACAACAACTGCAACTTCGGTGAGCCACTTTATTAATACACAGATAGATGGGATAAATCAATTCAAATGCATAGTTGAAAAAGAATTCAATTATAATTCCCACAAATAAAATAAACATTTTTCTTATAATGACCATCAGCCGGTAGCCTAATCTGTAATGAGGTATGGTAACTTGGACCGATGCATATATGTGCCTGGTCCTACGTTGTAGCTGACTGACTGAGTTTAATCTGTAAACATAACGAAATAATAATATATTGTGAACATTCTACTATGAAGTGACGCTACAGGTTACGATGGAAGATTTATAGGTTACTTCACAAACACAAGTAAGCTATAGATACTGTACATGGAGACAAATAAAAAATTTGTTTGTCTACTATACTATGAATCTTCAATTATTACGTGTTTTATGGTGTCATGAAATTACATTACACTTGAAATATGATGTAGGTGACAGTTATATGTAAGAAGCACTTACCTAAAGTTTTGTGCTTCATGGCACTTTTTATTAAAGTGTACCTGGAGCTTTCAGCGAAATTGCACTTTCTAAACAATACAAACCCACGTCACATTGCGTTTTCATCAAGCACTGTGTAACCCTTACCCCTATATGAGTAGCTCGGTATTTCTCAGTCAAACAGAACATAAAAGAGATGGGTCGCGGCTAGCAGTGGAATCCAGGACGCATGTTTCTTCCTATTCGAGACTCGTCAGCTGGATGTAAAAGCGTCCTAAGGTTGATGTCCACTCCGTGACTCAACATCACCTATAAGATGCAGGTACACCCGGCTGATGAGCTCCAAACAGGACGAAACACGGGTCCTGGACTCCACTGCTAGCCAGCGTTCATCTCTGATTATGATGCTTGTGACCTAATGTCAATATGGTGGCAGCCCGCACAGGATCCCCATATTCCAAAGAGACTGGTTAATTAGTCCTTGTCATCAACGAAAAATTTTAGACGACCAACACAAATGAAATAACAGTGAAGACTTTACAAATATTTTAAAGCCATACAACTAAATACTTACCAAATTATTTTTTCGAAAACGGTTAGTCTTTTTCTTTCAACGTGAAAAAATTATTTGATTGTTTCAGAATAAACAGATCAGTATTACTATTAAAACGACATCTATCTATAGGTTTATAAGCAAGCAACAAATATATTTAAGAAATATTTGTCTGAACCAATTAATACCTTCGTTGAACTGGTTTGATGAACCGAGAGCGTGAAAGATATGCTATATCATGTTTAAATTATTAAAACAAATTCAGCTCAATAGTCAAGTAAGTATATTTGTACAATACTTTGATTTAACTCCCCCTGGAGTACTACCGGTCCCAGCCCCCCTAGCAAGGACAGTTGAACGTGAGGTTAGCAACTACGCATCGTAAAAAGAACCTAGCTATAAATCAGCAACCAAAGAGACTTTGAAATACAGTTATTCCGTAAGAGCTGAAATATTATTAATGACTAGATGACTGATTATTTGTTTAAACTACAGTAAGCATATAATAATTTCCAATTTTAATAATAAGTGGTTGGGAGTAATTCATAGACCTAGGTTTTATGTTAATTGATACTCACCGTAAAGAAATATTCATAATCATGAAGGGATTGGTGCTCCCTAACAGATTTGAACCCTGATCATCGAATTTTACTGTCTCACATGTTAACTTAAACGATAGAGTTCTGTGAGCTATTAAGGACTAGACAAACATAACATTGACTTCTATTCAGTGATAATTAAACAACAAACATTGTAATACAGTAACCTAATAAGAACAATCAATTTAACAGGGTAGAAAAGTCAACAAATTATTTTAAACGAAATGATTGATAATAAAGTTTTTTCTTCGGAAAAATATCTTTTTTTTTCAAAAAAAAAAAGAAAAAAAAATTAATCTGATAAAAGTATTTGTTTAAGCCATTTACGTTCAATTTGTTCACATTTTAGTGAAGTATATAAAATAAAAGTTTGTAAACATTTCATTAACTGTTCATATTGTGTAATATTTTGAGGATAAATTCTATTTTGTAAATGATCAGCAAAATTATTCACTTCATTTGTTAATTGTTCAAATGAATCAATGTCATTTTCACTGATATTAGAAAACTATAAAATGTAATAAATAAGAACAAATAAAAAATATATATATTTGAAATAGAGAAAAGTGTAAAAGTATAGTGTAGAAATGAGATAATCAAAAACTGGAATTCGATATTTTATGCTTTTGCATAAAATTCAATCATCATGTATAATGAACGAGCAGTGAAAGTATATCTGTATGGTGTTCAGAATATGTAAAAATGACCACAAGAAACTATTATTCGCTACTATAAGGTAAACAAACTAGTCAAATTGCGTAGTTTGAATTTTCGGGTAAAATTCATTTATTTATATGACGGCGAGACTATCATTTGTGAACGAACCAATCAGATATAAGATAACAGATCTTGGATTTTGGCGCAAAATTCATACATCTATTTGGCTAAATAGCGTTTTGGCAATCAGTTGATGTCGATTCCTAGCCCTAACCATCAACTGTAAATCATAATTCTAATTCCTTACACTGGTTTATAACCTTCATTTAGTGCTAGTTAGTAGGTCCACATTTCAAAGGTCACTTCAGAATCACCCGTAGGTCATCCATAAATTATAGTCTGACGGATAATCTTAACGTTATTTGCGTCCTTATAAGAGGTCAAGGTGGTGGGTGATCTGTATTTATGTGAATAAATTTGTGACGATGTTTTCTTGATTTTTAAGCACAATAAACTCTAGAAGACATTAATAGATTCAATAACTATGTAAAATCTTTTTTACAACTTGTGATATGAACGTTTTACTTTCCATAAACAACTGGTTTACAGAAGCTGTTTTCTGATTGGCTAAGGACTTGCTGAAAATGTACCGCGGGTTTTTAACATTGCTCATGTGCTTAGCTTTTACATGAGAAATACTTAAAGGGTAGAAACTTCCTCTATATTTCTTTGGTAGTTTTATTTGTGTAGATAATGTTAGAAATAAAAAAGAAATATGAAACTCAGATTGACTATCCTTCAGAATTGGTTGCTGAACAGTAATTGTCAACAAGTCCCAATTATAAATTTACTTTTATCAACCGTTATGTTATCGCCCTACATATATGTTGTTACATAATGTTTGAATTAAAATCATGAAAGAAGATTTATCATTCCTTTTTCTTTTCTAATTACAGAGAGAGGATTTCATAAAGTATCGAAAGCATGAAACCACAGTAACGAAGACAACACAAAAGATGACAGAGACGATTTTATTCAGAAAACCAAACATCCACTTCAATAATGTATGGTTCTAATTTGTTTTAAAGACTGTAAACGAACACACTCTTGATGAACAGTTAATATCCACAAAACTACGTACAATCCCAAAGTTAGGAAATATAGGTATGATCTGCTATTTATCTGATATGACTAGTAGTCAAACAGTATAACTTACTGGATAAAAGGAGGCCAAGTATAATTAATTCACCGAACTCATAGCTAGGTTTAATTTATGACATAAATGAGACATGGTTTCCATAGATTTAACGCTGTTTATCTATGGATTCTTCTAGTTAGCAGTAGACTTTCTTATACACTGAAAACAAAAGATATATCACTAGTACAACAAGAACTACACTAAAATCTTATATCGAACGTGCTCTACTAATTAGAATCGACCGCCAAATCAAAAGCCAGTATATAATGTAAGAAAGTAATAAATTTATCAGTAATTTAGTACTAAATGGTAGACGAAAAAGTAAGAGAAATCCCACCATTCTAGGAATATTATGATCACTTACCAAAGATGCTATGTCACTAAGTTGTTGTAAATCGTGACAAACATTTTCATATTTATCCAAGTTTATTTCTTTCATAGTTAAACGATTTAATACAGGTGAAAATTTTTGTAATATAGTTTGTTCGAGTTGAGGAATTAATTCTGTTTGATTAAAATTTTGACTTTCTAAAGAATTATCATTCTCTTTTGAATTACATTCAGATATACCCAACATTTGAATTAAATCTGTAAGTATCTTGTGCTAAAGTAGAAAAATGGTTAAAACAAGCAAAAACAAGATATGATAATGATTAACACAAGGTGTTCCAAACGAACGAGCAGCATATTTACAACTGAGGAACGTCTGGAACTCAAAGCAACTGTCAACCAACACCAAGATCAGGATTTTCAATACAAATGTCAAGACAGTTCTACTGTATGGGGCGGAAACCTGGAGAACTACGAAAGCAATCATCCAGAAAATACAGGTGTTTATTAACAGTTGTCCACGCAAAATACTTCAGATCCGTTGGCCGGACACTATTAGCAACAACGTACTGTGGGAGAGAACAAACCAGATCCCAGCGGAGGAAGAAATCAGGAAGAAGTGCTGGAAGTGGATAGGACACATATTGAGGAAAGCACCCAACTGCGTCACAAGACAAGCCCTCACATGGAATCCTCAAGGCCAAAGGAAAAGAGGAAGACCAAAGAACACATTACGCCGGGAAATGGAAATAGACATGAGAAAAATGAACAAGAATTGGATGAAACTAGAAAAGAAGGCCCAGGACAGAGTGGGTTGGAGAATGCTGGTCGGCGGCCTATGCTCCATTAGGAGTAACAGGCGTAAGTAAGTAAGTAAGTAAGTTCCAATCGAAGTCAAAATAAACAAGTTAATGAATAAGAAAAAGAGAATTCAGCGAAGAAAATTTTCTTTTCAACGAAATCATTTACTTAAGCTGTACATTCGTATATATAGTTATATGAAAAATGTATGTCTATATAAGGATAGAATGGATTACATCATAAATTGATTTGAGACTCTTTATTATCAAATAAAGTTACGTACTAATCAAAGGGTAAGCAAGAAAATAATTTATGGGTCAGATAATAGTCCAATTGATAATATTTTTTACTAACAAAAATGTGGGATTATCTGGACTGTTATTTTTTATTGGAAAGGTGAAAATATATAATTATTAAGTCATAGAAAAAATATTATAGTTAATGTTTTTAAACATATTCCCTAACATTCAATTGGGTTCAATGTTTACACATTTTAATCATTAACTCATTATGTAATTAAATTGAGTTATTTCTGAGACCCTGTAGTTTGAAAAAGTTAATTAGAAACAATCGTACTATGATCGTACATTCCCGATCATCATCACTTAAATGATGTTGCTACTGGATGTAAGCAACCCTTTGCAGAAAAGGATGATTGAACATCAACAGTCTCCTAAAATCCTTAGTTGGGAGAGGCCAGGTTTCACAAGATTGATCAAATGAATTTTAAGTAGAGTCCTATATTTTGGATTGAAAGAATGCAAATTACATAACATACCTACGGGAATTAACTATTGGTTAGTTAACCGCGATTTGTATAGTTTGTGTATCAACGACATCCCCATACTGAAAATTGACATGTCTTTCTTCAACAAATAAATCCACACCTTAACCAGATGGAGGGATGACCAATAATCTGATAACTGTTACATGAACTACGGAAGCACTTCTTACCAATAAAAACAACGATAGCATTGCTACAAGATGATGAAATTTTGTTGTTCGTAAAACGTTTAGCTAACTTGGTCAGTTCTCTGACTAGCAGTTCGACATCAAACTTGAAAAGAATTGAGATTACATGTTCTAGTCGTGGTGGCTTTGAGCGCCTGGGAATTTAGGGCTCCCTGAAAGCCTCTACTTCGCTATACGGTTCGATAATCAATAATCAAGAAACATGTGACAGTTTGAAATTTGCAGAATTCAAGTCGAGTTTTAAGGTAACTAATTGACGTACCATATACTTCATAGACTGGGTTGCCGACATCAGATAAAAGGCATACACAGATTTTACTGAGTATGTGACCAAATACAACAAGATTTAATCAGGATAAGTTAAAGTTAATAAAATAAAATCGTGTACTAAAATGTCTGAACAGCCATTACATTTTAAGGGATCTTTATTATTTATTTCGAGGGCTTCCATATGATAAATAAGTTTACGATTCATCGGATGAAAGTGAACGTAATAAGTCGTAATGTGTCAGCAGACGACAAGATAATAGAGATATTTTCTACGAACTTGTCTCCCCAACAAGTGAACACGCGATGACTCGTAGTGGCAGCTCACATTATACGTACTTCTGGATCGATAAAAAACTACCAAATCCCAAAGCTTCGATCGGAAGAAAGAAACACTACCAAAATAGAAAGTGAAAGCAAAACGTCGAAGCAAGAATATGAACAGATGAAATCTGCTTTGTTCTGATGAGCAATTGGCGTCAGTTATGGTGTTCACGTAGTGTAAATAGCTCAAGCGATTCAAACTACTGACTACTAACAAGTAATATAGTACAAAAGAGAAAAATGAAATTACAGACTAAAATGCCTATTCAACAGGCAATATATACATGCACAATATTACCTCATTATGTAGATCTTTGACTGATTGAAACCAGTTTTCCCAATCATGTTTTGTTTTACGTAAGCGGATAATTTCTTCGCGTGTAGATTTTATGCGATTTAACAGACCAACTATTTTAGCCTAAAATGAAAATACATAAACTATCAAATGATTCAACAATAGTAATAATAATGAATTTCATATTCCATTTAACCTGAAGAATATTCAATCATGAAGGGTTCCATACCTTTTAATGAAAATAAACAACCATGTTTTACATAATCACCTAGTGATTGTAAATGGAATCAAAGAAATCCAATGAATTATTATGTTATCCATGATTGCTGAAGCTGCTATTTTTCAATCAGAACATGGAAGATAAAAATGTGGCTTAGATGTTGACCTGTAGAATGTTTTATTGAGATTTCCTTATAACTGAGTTGATTTTTCTATTTTTGTATAGCTTGAAGTTTACAATTTTGTGTGTGCTAGAAGTTCACAATGTCTGGGAAAGTGAAGTAATCCAAGTGCATATGGAAATGAATTTCGCATCCCAGATTGATACTAGTGCTGATAAAAATCGATAATTGTCAAGCGATATCACGTTAAAACAGAAGTTGGAAACATGGATTATTACATTCTAAAGTAGTGATCTCAAAAAATCTTGGTTGCCGCAAAACCCTTAGGTTTCGGTTTAAGCACTACATGGAGTCTTGAACGTGTACTGTCGAGAAACCCCAAGCTATGATGAAACAGTTATCCAAATCTTTCTGAGCCTAAATAACTCTTAGGCCGATGTCAGTCTGAAATAAGACCAGATGTTAAAATATTGACGAATCAACTTCTTAAGTGAGAATAGAAGTCTAACACAATATTCCATAAATTTCATGATTCGTAATGTTCTTTCATCAGGTTAGGGGACGTATCAGAATTGTCCTCTCAAGTGTTCTCCCAATGTAATACAGGAAGCGTCAATATTGAAGGTAGCGTGATCTACCAAGTAAGGCAAGACATTAAATATTGACTGTTTTAACAAATAACTTACATACAAAATATAATCTACATTGGACATAGTCAATAAAAATCTAAACTAGATACTAATTCAATCACATTGTCAAATATTAGAACTAAAACTTACATAATCACATTCCGCTTTATTCACAATGTAAGATGATGTATAACGTTGAAACAATATCCAAACAGTATATGCACCTAATGATATATCAGACACTGAATCAACATCTAATTCATTAAGCTTTTTTACAGGATTATCCAAGGTTAATGAATCAGAAGAATGTTCAGTGACGCTACCATGTTCCATGTCATATGAGTGAATTGCAGAGGCAACTGAATCCTATTTATTAATTTTTGATAAACAGAAAGATTTAAATTAATTGATCAATTTAAAAAAATGCATAAATAAATAGTTATGAGTGAATACTAACAAAGTATTTTCAATTGTTCTTACAAATTTACAATATTGTTATTTTAAGCATGATTACTCTATATTATCATATAACTTTAAAATATTCTCAATTGCTTCAAGATTTTTAAGTACACCAGGCCTTGAGAGAAACATTTTTTGAAAGTTCCTTAGATAAGATAACCTGAAAGGGGTTATAATTTAAAATATGAAACGAACATCCTGGATACTATTAATGGCCACACTTCATTCTATTCTATATAGACAAATAGATCATTGAATTTAACAATAAAATCCACGGCCCCAGAAACCGAAAAGCAAACAAGTGACTTTTGAGATGGTGATTTGTAGGTCAGGTGGATGATTTGGGTGGAGTTTTGTTTTCTGAGCTGAATGGTTCGGTCGAACTTTCATTGTTCTTTTGGACAAAATCATAAGCATAAACTTCAGGCAGGAGTGAAACGTTCGAACTTCGCCACATATGACTCACAGTTTGTCCTGCCAACCTCGATTGGTTATTGTTGACCTTTTACTTGTCATTTTCTACCAGTTTATTTTGAGTGTATCTACCTTTGATTTGATTCTTGGTCTCATATTTGTCTATGATTTTTCTAACCGATTTTAATGTGTTTGCTAACTTGATTGACCTGAGTGCCAAGCATCCGAAAATTATCTAGTGCTTTTAATAATCCCTCTATCCAAGATCTCGACATTTTCTTCGATGTACTAATCACCAGAACCGATACAGAAAAACTGGAGACTCAAGTATACTGGAACCTGACCCACACATATCAGGTTCCCAATTACAGTGGCAACAACCCAACAACTCATAAATTCAACTGCGCACAAACTTTATTCAAGAGGATGAGGACACACTGCAACGCTGGAAGATGAAAAATTATCTAAAGACTATTTCGAAAGAACGGCTACCCACTCAACTTCATCAGAAAATATCAACCCAACACATCAGCAAAAACAAAATCAAGTACAGAAACTAACAGACGGATCATCCTACCATATATAAAAGACATCAAAAATTACAACGAGATTATTGAAGCCGTTTGGAATGGGTGTAGCACACAAACCAGCAAAATCATCTCAATCCTATGCAAACCAAAGGACGAAACAACAAAAGAAACACCGGTCACCTACAAAATAAACAGTTCCAACTGCGATAAACATCACATCGAATAACGAGGGCATCCCCTTCATCTTCGCCTACACCAACACCAATTAGCGGTCAAGCGCCATGACATATCCTCTCTTATATCAATGCATGTGGACAACTGTGGACACATTAGACTGGAAAGATGGTGAGATCTTGGATAGAGGAATTACTAAAAGCTAACGAGTGCTCTAAGCTCACGGTACAGTTTTACATCTGGCTATTAATTTTCGTTTTAATCTCCAAATACATATGCAACCATTTGGAAAGTTATACAATCCATATGAGAAATTGTGGTTACGGTCTTTCTATACATACTTTCTGTAGTATGTAGATTCACAAGCCTATATTATATATTATGCATGCACTACTGATGTATATCTTGATTGTACAATTGTGGTAAACAGTGAACAACTAAGCGATTGCTATTCGAATGAAATCAGGATGCAATATCATGTGACTTAAGGGAAATCGAAAACTAGTCGGTTGACTACACACGGAAGTGATAATTCACAAGTTTTAAATTATAACAGCACCGTAACAGTAAGCAATATAATAAAAGGAATCTAATATGTCAGCCTACACGCAATACATGATAGGTAAATAATGACTAATTCTACCCAGCAACTTACATCAATGACTAATTGAGCATTCGATGCATTAACTCCAAATTTTGGAGACGATTGCCGCTTCACAATAGAACTGTTTTGTCGTTCATTGGTCGACTTTTCTCTTACAGACGAAGCCTAAGATGTTTGAAAGCAAGTATAATCCAAACACTTCACTCACAGATCGATGGACAGTATTTGATTTTTCCAAATAACGTGAAGCAACTAGAAGACAAAAAGGAAGCGAATAATTGGGAAGTATGCTAAAAAAAACTATTCTTTCGATTATTAATATCAACTACCAATAACGCTAAATAATATCGTTGTAGGGCAAATTAACCTATGTTAGGAAATGTGAACTACTTGATAATAAATCAATAGCTAAGTAGTAACATAGCATCATACATAAAAGTTCCAAGTTTGATTATAAAACAAATCAAATAAAACCGACTGAGTTTAAGGATTTATGATAAAACATCTATTTACTACTTCGAATGATTCACTTACAGGTAGTTTTTGACTGAATAACAATGGTACATATTGGAAAAGTAATGATACCGTCAATCATATTCTTTCTGATGCACTGAAATAAGTTCTCGTATACAAAAGTCACAAAAAAATGTTATTCGAAGCAACACAGCGTTCTGTCGACTTGCTGGAGAATTATATCCAAGGGATAAAAATTCGCATACCAGATTTTTATACATTGAAAAAAAACTCACCGAACCACTGTGAATTGATAAGAAGTTGAATTTCTATGTGATATTAATGTGCAATTAGATCAGATACAGTCCTGATAAATACTCTTAATGGGATTAGAAGTCAAACTTCTGCAACATGAGCAAATAGATAATTAGGATTGTGGTCTGTAGATTGACTAAGATATTATCTAGAGTCTAGGAGCGAAAATTTAGTCAGTACGAACATGTCCAGGCCTAAAAGCAGCCTGGATTTTGCGGATTTGATTTTCACGAGCTCCATATAAGCGTTGGACCATTGAGGCTAATATTTTAGATCCTATATTAGTCAAACGGATCACTCGCTGGTTATCGCAGAAGGGTTTTCGTCCATTCTTACAGCCTGAGACGATGGAATTGGGAAAACTCCTAGTCCTTAAAATTTAGCTAATATCTCACTCAGCCTAACAGTTAAAACTTGACCATCTTCCTTGGAAATCTCTCAGATCAGGTCATTAGGGTTTGCTGTTCTCCCTGACATTAGGTTACCCAGAGCGTTTTTAACTCAAGAGTTGGAGACTTGTGTCAGTTTGCCGTTCAAGTTGATTGGAGATAAATGATAACTGAAGGCTGGCTGGAGGTCAGTTGAACTTCCCCTTAGAGTATTCTGCAATGTCTTACCTCTTAGATCAAAGGTGGGTGATGCTTCTGTTTTGTTTTGAAATAGTCTCTCCAACAACTGCATCTTTAATAACTACTTTCTTTATCGGTCTGTTGAGTTGTCTGAAGCTACCTACTGCTGTCGAATTCCCATCTCTTTCACTTTCGTTCCCCGCCATTTCTCACGACCGTCGCATGAACTCATTGTTGGTTTATATTTGAGTTGTTATCGATCTTTATCACCATTCCAACCTATTGGGATAAGTTTTCAAGAACCATAATATTCGCCTTTGATTGGATGATTTTTGAAATAAATCTTATGAATGGACCAGTTGAAAGATGAAGACGAAACGTCCAACTATTTCGTTTAGAAGCTGAGAGCTAATACACTAAACCTTTTTTATTTAATTGAGCTTACCAATATGTAACCCAAGACTAGCTAAGAAGTAGTAAATCATATTATATTGCTCATCGTAAGAAATACAAAAACTGAGTTAACGTACCGTAGGCTGTTTTTCTTCTGGGGTGCTTAAAAAATTTTTCCCTTTGGTCACCCATTGAAGTATATGCACAAATTATCTACGCGGACTCAAAAATGTGCTGAACCACTTCTATGGCAAAAAAGCTATGCAAATTAACAATAAAAAACGTTAAAAAACAACATGTATATATGAACAAGTTATGAAAATATTTTTCAAAAAATTAATTGAAAACTTGGTAAGTGAATGGCATTTAACACATGAACTACCTTTTCAAATCGTATCGACTGTGTAGAAGTTTGGTATCTCTAGAGAGGTAACGACGAAAGTCTACTAGTATTTAGATGAAAATGCTTAACTACATGGCGTGGATTCGGGCAAGAGTATGATCCATGGAAGAAGCAACGGAAGTAAAGATATTTGCATGAAATCCATTCATTTGTATGGTTAAGTAGCATTTTGACACACTAGCTGGTCAGTTTTTCATACTCCCTAACCCTTAATTCTAACTCTAAACCCCAATCTTATAGAATTGTTATTTATATATACTAGAGCTAATTTATAACTCTCGTTAGACCCTAGTAATTAGGTGAATATTGACTTTGACAATATCGACATTTAACTTCGTTTCCGTGAGATAATGAGCACGACAGGACTTTACATTATTGAATAATTATGTTTGTCTGACGTTTGAAAACCACTTTACGTCTTTGAAAAATTCTAATATAAATCTACATCGCTAAATGATGAGTGAATGATCTAGTTTTCTCATTTTTGGGGATAATTTTTTCAGTGTTTTGAAATTTCGGGGAAGCCGCTATGGAAACCTTTAAGGAAATGGCACCAAAGCCACAAAATATCCCAGATCTGGGGAAATCCCCCAAAATTTTGGGTTTTTCACCAATATTCCCTCAAAACTTTGGTGATTTCCCGGAATCTTAAAGCAATTTGGGGAAACCCGTACTTCTTTATTGATAAAACCTCAATTTTTTTCACAATTTCGGGGAAGGCCATTGAACACTGGAGATTTCCCCGAAATCGAGATATTGAGAACCCACGGGAAACACTTTAGGATAAACGTTTCTCACGTCACGTTCATCTTTTAATAGATCTGCGTCCAGCCTGAAGGTATTTAGTGTGGCCCTTAATTTTGTGGTCATTCAGATCGAACGATGTGGTCGAAAGGGCTCTCCACTTTAGTGACCCGTGGATCTGACTCCAATTAGATCGTATGAATGTTTGTTATCCCCTATCCTCGTATATAATCATCGACTTAAATCGCGTTACTCAATAACGGAATTAAATAAGTCGAATAACGAGAATGGACTTGTGAATACATATATTTTGTATATAAAGTGAATGGAATAGAACGAAGCAAAACAACGTGCAGTGGAGATGGCTGGTAAGCCAACTCTCATTTAACCAAGCGTTAATCAATATTTATAGTTACACAAAAGTAAGTTGCAGACATGTGATGAGTAATGGTATGAGAAATGTACACACACCTACGCGCTCATATAGAAACAGTCAAGATCGATAAGCGGATAATTAACAAGGTCAAAATGTGACTCAAGTAGAATGAATAGAATGGGCTGCCCGAAAGCTAGAATACGGTACATGGGCTCAACATAATAAACGTCACTACAGGTATCTTGCGTGCAGGGAAAGTGTTCCCACAAATCAGTGAGAATGCAGAAAGCATTTACATTTAGAAACAAAGTGATTAAAAAACAGTTAAAATAACATTCATGAGACTAAGACAGTCCGATATTAAAATCTATCAGTTAGCATCTTACTGTTTTGAACGCATTACACCAACAACGTCAATATAGCTAAATAGCACAATACACTAATAACGCGCCTATAGATTGATTTATATTCTTATGCCATATACAAACACTTTAAAAGAATCAATCAGCTATGTATCAAATCAATGGTCATGATGGATTTAACTGTGCCATACACTAAGACCAATCAGTTCATATTCCGTCAAACAACGAATGTGCAATTATAACTGTAGCGCTAAATAAATCTTTAACACAGATAATTTTTGAGTCTTCAACATTTAAGCAGACCTTGCTAGTTTCGATGAACACATCTTACCGAGTGTTGTTTGTCACGAAACCGCATCACATTACCATTGATTAATCCTCTGAGCATCACTCGCAACAAGTGGCTAGCTTAGATTACTTATTTCTCGACATAACGATAATATGCCCAATATATCATCTCACTGCTTCATTATTGCCTTTTGAATCGACTGGGTTTCTATCCTTTAATTTCAAGGATATCACGTACCAAAGCGTTATCAAAATATGAATATCCGTGACTTCTGTAATAAATATTCCGACGCGATCTGGCACCCCAAATGATAGACCGTGAGGTTTTTACTGGTGAAACTTTAAATATATAGATTCCTTATGCAGATCGGGACATTATTTTTGTATTTTCAGATTATTTTCGCAAATCCATGCATTTGTTTTTTATATATTTGAACAGACACTCAAAGTTTTGAAGATTAAGTCTCTTACGCTCCTCGACGTTTAACTAATGCTGTAATTCTCTTGTTCTGATATAAAGTGGCTGACTCCCACGAGCACAACGTAATAGACCCGGGTGCAAAATTCTTCTCAGTAGTGAAGTCAATGCCATGTAATTTCAAGAGGTACGTTTACGTCGAGCATGTTTACTAGTGATGTTTCCGAACCTTACAACATTTTAAAAAAAAAGACTATAAACGTGAAGAAATCGCCGATCAACAAAGGTTACATAGGTGACTCGATAGTACCAAATTGTAACACGGCTCAGCAATAGTAACGTTGCTACGCGTGCGGAGATCTTTGATCAATGAACTTTCGATGAGGGCCCCTTTGGAGAGTTCTTCTCGTATACGCATCCTCAAAAAGCGCAAGCGGTTCTGCCTTCATTACAACATAACGCCGTAGACAAACTAGAAACATCTACTGACTGGATTCTAGGAATCACCATAATCCTTAGAGCCTACGTTAAACCTGCCAAAAAAATCCCGACTCAATACAAAGCGAAATTAAAGATCTCTGATATACTTTCACCCGTTTTCTCAACATTCATCATAATAGCCAATAGACGGAAACTCACTACAGACACCTGTCACAAAAAGGATCTGCTCCTAGATCGCGAGAAACTAATAACCTAAATGAACTCTGGTACATTAACACTCATGATAAGTCTTTTAGGAAACACAGAAAAGCTCTTGAGGTTTTCCAACCTCACACTTGTTACGAAAAAGATTTCGGGTGACCCCTCCGCCGAAGTGTGTTGCTGGCGATAGGAGCAGCTTAAAATAGTCAACCATTATGCATCAGTGTTGTGATGACAACAATCTAGCATTTTAATGACATTCGAGAAGAAGTTGGCCAACAACCTAGGAAAACTAACGATCATCTACAAGATCGTTTCTTCAACTATCGGGCGGCAGACCGAAATCAAAACCCTAAATATATTATGAAGTAAATTCCTTGTAACGTGCGTTTTGCTGGCATGAGTAAACGCGGGAGAGTGCGCACCTTCTATGTAATCTACAAAAATTTGAAGATGAAGAGACGTGTTAAATGCCTCTTGATGTCTATCACAACATGTGACACCCATCTCAACCATATTCATTTTTATTTGACCCTTACCAGACTTAAAAGGAAGCACTTATTTCCTAACTCAAGTCAAGTTGGGTGAGAAATTAAATCATTTATATTTTTTGATTGTGTCATCATGCTCCTCCTGGAGCTGGTATCTTCTTCGTGGTTGAGTCGAGTGGAATCCGCAGTTCGTGATCGAAATCTAGAGTCTGCAAGGATTTCCAAAGAATGGATAGAGTCATTCATCCTTATTATTAATGTTTGGACAGTTGTAATTGAAATAGCATAAGTATTGTCGGACTAGTGAATGAACTAGTTTTAACTGCTAACTAAGCAGTTTCCTGCGCCACTGTCCTCCCAATAACTCTGAATTCGCATTACACTGAATCACATTCTCTATGGGAACATCGATATTTCAACCGTGACAACTCATGTAAACCGCTCAACTCAATGACATGAAGTAATAGCTATCAAGGACGTTACTTTTGAAACAGTTGCTTGTAAAATTATGGTGGAATTAGGTATTAGTGTAGTGAACAAGAACACCAGTGGGGGACAATCGAATGTATGTGACACTAGATTGCAGAGCATCTCAATAAAATCTGAGAGCCGTATAGTAAATCGTTAATTTGCAAAATATCATTCCATTATACCAAAGTTGACTGTTCCTGTTGCAAACATCAATCCATTATCTCAGATTTAACTGTTTACGCGTTTTCATACCAATTGCGTTTCGTCCCCGTTCTTTCCTCATCGACCTTCTACTGAAATACATCCTATGCCTGACCACCGTCATATGCTACTTGTGTTGAAATGAGTAACCCACATCACATTAGTATCACTATAATAATAGACCTAATTCCAACATTACAGATTTTTCATGAAGTGATTACCCAATATATAAGGTCTTATATGAAAGTCACGTCATTATCTACACTGTCTCATCCTATCGCACCAATCAGCAATATGACGTCTAGCACTTATGAAGAACATATTTAGGCTGGGAAATTGTTGATATATTTGGTACAATGAGCGAGAATTCAAGTGATCACGCCCGCCTGACCGAGTCATGTCATTTCGATTCCTTGTTGCTGCGTTCATTATTGCAGAGCTTCTATCCGCGTTAAATGCTGAATACGAATTTTGTCAGTTATCTAATGTCTAGCCTCGAGGATTGCGAGATCCGAATAAATAGCACTGAAGATGATACAGGTATTCAGTGTTTGACAACGCTTCTACCAGCAACACCTTCTAATATCATCTGTACCCACCGAGAGAAATCAAAAGACAGAGTCGAGGAGATCGGAAGAGTGTATTTGGCGATAACCAATATATCGGAATTCTCTGATTTAATCTGGCTAGCGATTGCGGTAGATGTTGAGCACAGCGTTACCACACGTGATCTGGTGCGGATACATGACCGAGCGCCTTCAGCTAGATGAGCCCACTAAAACATATGGTCAGCATCCAATGTCGAAAACTTACAGAGCTATTTAGTTTGGGGATTTATTTACCGCTACAGCACTATAAGCTGGCGTCTTCTTTTAAAGATAGCTAGTATACTTCAGCTGCCATTCAGCTATTACTTAAGCATGTGAATTGCATTAAAGTACCTGACCTTCGCCGTTTTCTAATTACACTCCTAGGCAGCATATTGTTACAACAGACCGCCTGCCACCCACAAGCTAACTTTTCGGTAGCACTATTTTAAATACTGTTGAGAGCCTAACTCTCAGCTGTAAACGTATTACAATCGATTGACGGTCTTTTACTCATGTAACTTGGTGTTACTAAAGCGTTGAGTGCTGATGTTAGATGCACTCCGAATGAACTTGTTTACGGAATAGCACATCGACTTCCAGGCGAATCCGCGGACCTTTCGACTTCTTTAATGAATGCAGATCAAAGCCTCTACACAAGAAGGATTACTAACCGATGGACTCAGTTAAACTTTCGCCAATTCAATCGCAATCAACTGATGTTTTTCGTCAGCTTGCCCAACCATATGTATGTCTGTTTTCGCAAGTTGTTTCTCGATACTCCGAGCCCCTTGGCCACTTACGAAGGACTATATGATATTATTTATCATGTATCGATGTACCACACTTTTGATAAAGACGAAATCAAAGATAGAACGAGCAACGAAAGGCTTAGTGCAGTTGACTAAGAAGGTAACTCATTCACCATCAGCTTTCTTACTAAACAGTCAGACGACGCAAACGTCGATAGTTAAAGACTAAAACTTGACTTCGCTGGCATCTGATACCCACATTCCTACAGTTGAGCTACACGTACAACTCAAATCTACTGTCAACCAATATAATAGGATCTTCAATACGAACTTCAACACAGTCCTACTGCACGGAGTTGAGACTTGAGGAACTGTTGTGGTATTAGTTCTGTTATAACGCTCGGTTTTCCTTCTAATGTTATAACGGTTGGGTTTACACTTTTACACGTTTGGGACGTTTATTTACCTCAGATGAATATCTACATTAGATTCCATCCCAGTGTTTATTCTACAGGAATTCAACACAACTCAGATCAAGAACTCGTGATTAACCTGATCAGAACGTAAATATATTTCCACACCAAAGACCGACACAATCCGACAACAATGAAGAGTCAATAATAAGTAAGTCGTAATAATAATAAGGATAGGAGAATATATAACTCATCTGACACTTGTCAGATTATCTACATGTCTGACTAAGCAGACAACCAATCATTATCATTCTCGCCCACTCATCAGGTTCTTACCACACTTTCCTCAAGGCTGAACATAAGATAACTGCGAAACTAGATATTCCGCATTTAACACGGAAAGAAGAACAACAATGTTACAGGAGAGAATATTCGTTGCAATTGAATTCAATCAGATGGCATGGCTCAGCCATGCAGATGTGTTCACCCTATATTACTTGTCTTAACTCATAGTAAATATATGATTCTATCTTTAGCCTAAATATGACGTCATATAGCAGATTGTTGGGATACGACGAGTCAGAAAAGCCAATAATGTGACTTCCACTGAAGAACTTATGGATTAGGATTTCTCATCACGACATATCTACAATTTTAGGATTAGATTTATTATTATAGCAGTACTAATAACGAAACAGTCCATTATTCTACAGAAATACTACAACCATCATCAAAAAGGTATAGGCATTTATGGTCGATTGTCTACACAAGTTACGGATGCAATCAGCAACAGCCTACTGTGGAAGAAAGTAAATCGGCTTCCAACTGAAGAGGAAATTGGGAAAATATGTTGGAGATGGATAGGACATGCATTTCCGAAATCATCAAACTGCATCACGAGGCAGAAGCTAACTTGAAATCCTGAAGGGAAATGGAAAACAGGGAGGCCACAGAACACACTTCATCGAGAATCGGAACCAGACATGAAAAGGATG